TTGGTTTTTTGATTCCATCGTCAGCACCGTCAATTCCATCGCGATGATCTTTGTTGTCGCTGCTCGTCACAAACAGATTCCCGTTTGCTAATTCAAAGAATGGCTTAGTTAACCAGTGTTTTCCTGTTTATTAACTTAATCAACAGATCAGGTATTTGGTGAACAATTTTGAGGAGGTTGGGTGAAGAGGGAAGAAGAGGGTTGTTCAACTGATCAGACTGATGGATAAAACGGAAGATAAAAGAGAAGCTACCAAATAGAAGAGAAAAAAAAGTGTATTCTGTATATTTTTTAATGTCGTCGTCACCATTACTGTTACCAACATTCTTTTAACTTCAATGAAGCTCTCACTGTACTGTTCAAATGAATGTCTGATATATTCTGAATTTAATTTCTTTTATTTGTCTATTTAATAATTACTTTGTAGTATATACAGCACACACTGTTCTGTTGTTTATATTTGCCACCGTATATTTGTACACCGAAAGGCCCATAAAATAATACACAGTGCAGCAAAACTTAGTATTATTATTTTAATTATTAATTTTATTACTATTATCATTGCCGTTATTGCTATTATTATCAATAAAGGAAGTGAAAAATTTAATCTGCTTTTTCTTTGTTTGTACAAACGATTATCAGCCAAAAAAGAAGACTCTTAAGAACATAACAATTTTCTTTTCCTCATTATATTTTCCAATTTTTATTATAGTTAGTTACATTCATTTTGAATACAGAGCAGTATAACTTAATTATGTGTTTCTTCTTTTTTCCCCGTTAGTCAAAAACTTTTTTCTTCAAGGTTTAACTGAAATATGATAATAAATTTTTCTTTTTTGCTAAAGGTTTAGTTAATACACAAAAAAAAGAAGAAGAAAGAAGAAAATTGGGAACACTAAAAATATAAGATGCAAAATAGTATCAAATAGTATCAACAAAGGTAACTTGTCGGTGATAAACTGTTTACTGCTCAAACTATTTGCCAGTTTGGTCTACTTTTCCTTTCTTATTTACTTCTTCAACTTTATTTTCCCCATCAAAATCGGTCGACACCTATTTGATCGACAGCGGCAACAACAAACTACGCAGTTGACCAAACAATTTATCATCCATCTTTGAAATGACTGTTGGCTTAAAGCATTAATGTCTTATGCAAAAAATGAACCAGAAGCCTGACATAAGAAAATCTGAATTGTGCCCGATACGTTTTGAACAGACCGCTTATTGTCAGCAGAAAATTCCTCTTGTAGCCTATGGCGTAAGTTGGAAATCAGCTCCAGAAATATGCAGTTACACCAAACTGTTGCATAGCACATGCAAATATATAGTGTTGTTGATCCAACAATTTATAAAACACTGGTAACTTTTGTGTCCTCCAAAAATCAACACATAGAGTTTTTTTTTCAAAAAGAGTGCAAAAAAGGCGAAGAACATAAAACAAAACAAAGAAATTATTGCTGATGCTTGTTGTTTCACACCGGTAAAGCACTGCTTCCCAATCAATATCAAGACTAAAAAAACTTAGACAATTACAGCTTTTCAGAAGACAATGGATATACGGTTAGCCAATTGCTGTTTTTAATATGGCCCTTAGTTTAGTTAGTACAGTCAACTGAATACATTGAGAAAACAATTTTTTTTTTTTTTTTTGCCTTTCATGCATATATTTCGTATAGTTTTTAGTGTCTATATGTTGCACAGTTTTGCCCTATAATTCCATGTGTTTGCATGTAGTTGAAAATTTCAACCACAACAAAACTGCCGTTTTATATGTATCATTCAATTTTCCATCGGTATTATCTCCTTCAACTTTTTCGACAGCTTTGTTTTCATTATTTTCATAGTTCCCGTGTATAGTATGTTGAATCAGAAACTATTCTATTTTAAGAATCACAGAGATTTTATTACAGAAGAGGAAAAAAAAACAAGGGAAAAAAAGAATAAAGAGCAAAAAAAAAAATTACAGAAAGGACAGGAGATGCTAAAAGGCATATAGGTGAATGGATGAATGGATGATTAAAATTGTTTTTAAAAAAATAAGAGTATTTAAAATTGATCAAAAGCAACTTACAATGATACTTTTTCTTTTTGATAAATTTTTCTTTAAGCTTTTTCTTAAGTTTTTTTTTGTTTTTTTGTTTTGTTTTTTTTTTTGGTTTTTTGTTTTTTTGTTTTTTTTTTTTTGACCACGATCATCATTAAAAAACAGTTGTTCGAAAAAGCTGTGTTCCGTATGTTTTTCCAAAAAGAAAACGGATAATAACACTAATAATGATAATAGTAATAAAAATGGTCGTAATAGTAACAATGATAATAATAATAATAAAACAGTAACTGCATGAATAAGAAGTAAAAAACCACAAATAACAGTAGTAATAAGAAAGAAGAATAAAAATAATAGTAAATAGAACAAAATTATCAAGTATAAATTGGGGAGAAAAAACCAACAGATGACTTAATGAAAAACTGTATAGAAAAAGTGGAAAAAAAACAGGAAAAAATCGAATACCATATCAAAAACTGCTAATAAACAGTTAATAAGTGGAAACGGTGAAGAGGAGAGAAGAGAGGGGAATGCCAGAAAAGTGTTGCAAAAAGTTAAGAACAGAAAAAAAAACCGAAATGGCTTCCGATTTTTTTTTTTT